GGCCGCAATTATCAAAAATATAAAACGTCGGTGGGAATCTGCAGAAATACGTTTTGGTCCTTTTTTTTGGTGACTTCTGAAGTGATGCACGTTTTCTAATCGAAGTGAGTTGCTTTTTTCTTTTCTTCATCTCTTCCACTGACTTGGGCCTCGCCTTTTCTGAAAAGGCAACTTTCCTGCCTATCCTTCCCATCCATGTCGTCGGAAGACCGATTTGCATATGTTAGTGAATCATGTGGCGGGTCGAGGGAAGCACCGCCAAATCCACTACTGCACACACATACACATCACACGTAAGTCGAACAGGGGAATTGACAGAGCACGGAAAAAAAAAACGAAAAACATTGAATGTCCATTTCTAGTGGTCAGTTTGACAAGCTGTATCGAAAAGAGTAGCGGGATGTACGAGTGAAGTCAAAAGAAGGTTATCGGGTTGCTGTCAAATGCCCTAAAATTTGAAATCACCGTATTACTTTTTCTGTACCGTAATGTTTCGATATTATTGATTAAGCCTCTTCTCACTTCTCAAAATTATTTTCACGAAAGTGAAAACTAAATGTAAGGAGTGGAGACAGGGAATTGTTTGGAATTTATGGGAATTGTTTGGAATATTTACAGAATCACGGTTTGCATGGGATAGAAATTTGTGGTCACCGATCTCTGTACCCTATCACATCAAAAAGCATACAGTATCTTTTGAAAACTTCGGAAAAATCCCCCGTCTCTTTTTTACTTTGGAACTCCCTATGCTGCTGACATAAATTGAAATGATTCAGCTCATAGCTTAATAGTGGCGTTCTACTGGAGCGAATACGGTAATTATCCAAGTTTACAGAAAATTTGAAAGCTAGTTTTGAAAATATTAGGTTGTTAAGAAAGTAATGCGCGTTTTTGATTTCTTTTAACCTCACACAAAACTAAAACAAGAGGATATCAATCAGAGGAATTTTCTCCATAATTTTCGGCCATTTACTGCCAACGCATGATTAAAGTTTCATGTCTCTTTTGAAGAACTACACCGGCTGTAATTCGAAGTAGTTAGTACCAAAAGCGCACTACTTTTTTACAACCTAATAAACTTTGGTTTTTTCGATTTCCCTTGTTTTATTCAAAAACGAATAGATTTCAAGTTTCAAATGAATGTATTTTTTGTCTTTGAAAAATGGTATAGCTCTGAAAAATTAGTTAATGTTTGCCTGCATGGTGTGAACCTGTCAGAGCACTATTCCGTATCATCAATTGCTAAAAAAATTCCGTAAACACTCTAATATAATCCTCCTTCCCCTGACTTTTGCCTTTGATACCATATATTTCATTTCCTGTAAAATATATCAAAAAGTGTTAAACTGGCAAAATGCTTATCATAATGTCAAAAATAATTTATCAGTTAGCCACTTCTTGATATCATTCTCAGACACTGAGATACATAATCTTAAAGGCTTTCAGACCGAACCGACAGATAAGGTTGTCTCTTTCTTTACGGAAACGGTCAATATGCACTTTTTCACAATCACTCTGAGTCAATGATCAATCTTTAATAATATGTGTTGTTTTACAAAAATACCAACGACAACTAATTCATAGATTTTTTAGTTAAATACCGTGAACACTCTAATAGAACCACCTTACATTTTCTATTTGAGCTCAAATATCTAAACTTCTACAAAATATATCAAAAATCTGTTAACTAATAAAATGTTTGTCATAATATGATTGACATTTTTTCTAACTTGGTTTTGATATCGCTTATAGAAAGCGAGATAATTTAGCTCAAACTGCAGGTATAACATGGTCTTCTATGAGGAGTGTTTACGGTATCTGATCCTTCATTCATCACTGTTTTAAAAATGCCGTTTCCAACGAAAACAATAAAATGTTTATATTGTTTTCAAAACTTAATTAGATTGGAAACCTGGGTTACGGTAGAAAATGAATTCCAATATTCGGATGCCATAAATTAACCCAAAAACAATGCGAATAAGGATGCAATTTATGATTCTTAGCGAAGTTAGAAAAGCCGATGAGGACTCACTTGGTACTGTAGGTATAGATGACGACGGCCAACTTTTGAAAAATATGTTCGCGAAGCCTCTCTCGTACTCAAGCAGACGGGAAGTAATTGTCTGATTGGGAACACTCCGAGTTTTTGACGAATGCCGTCAGCGGCGGAATATCTGAGTTTGCGTGACCGACAGTAGTCTCCGTCTGAAATGCGACTCACACTTCGCCGATACGAAACACACAACAAATGTTTTTTGCTTGTCTCTTCTCCGATTGCGAAGAGTTTGAAGAAAGACAAGAAAAAGTGGGCGGAGAGATGCGTCAACTGTGCCTAACTAGGAACATTTATCGCATGACTGTGTGCCCTCTCGTTTGACACACAGTCAAGAAACATAATGTGCACACCGGAAAACGTCTTCCGATTGAGAAGACGAGGAAAAAAAGAAGCGAGATGGATGGAAATGTGAAGGAAAGAAGAGAGGCAAAAAACCCGAGAAATTAGCTGTCGTTTCACACATAGTCACGAAGAAAGTCGAGGGAAAAAGATAAAGGGAATGAGCCCGGCCATGTCGAATATTTTTCGGCGAGACAAGTCCATATGAATAATATGAAGAAGAAAAAATACGAAAAACAGAAATGTGAAATGAATCATCTAATGATAATTAGGTGTAGAAGACGTAGGATGTCTTAAGGAAAGACTGAAACTGCGAATCTATGATATAACATGTAAACCACAGAATCATATATGTTTGCGGTGGGAATTCATGATGATGACAGTGATACGGTAACATCGTTTAGCAGTAACTGAAGAAATGTTTGTTCCCAAAATTCTTCTAAAAATAAGGGATACTGTAAATCTGAATTTAAAAAATCTACAGTATAGACATCACCATCTACAGTAGCAATATCTTAGGAAGTATTGTACAAAGCTGCTGTACATTTGAAAGAACTTTACACGGGTAATCTTGTTGAATCGTACACTGAAACAGGAAATCTTTCAATATTTTCTTTTGACAGTTATCTTTTTTCGAATAGCTACAGTAAACATTTTTGAACGTTTCCTGATCAAAATCCTTAAATTCCTCAAGTTAAATCCTTAAGTTTTTCTGAAATTTAATCCTCATTAAAAAAAGGAAATATTGTTTGGACAAATACTAATACTAAATCTTTGTTTTGTGTAAAACTATTCAGAACTTAAATAAAAGTTCAATACAGTACCGGACAAGCAATATCTTATCATGAACGTTTCACTGGAAGGTAATTAATTTTGAAATCCTGAGAAAGTGGTCCAAACATTTTAGCTTATTATGAAAATTTTAGAGTGTAATTAACAAAATTAGAGTTTCGATTTTGTAATCGATAACTTTGTGAAAATCCAAAAAAGCGAAATGAACGGTTTTGAAGTGATAAAACTTTTTTTCAGTTCTAATTTTGACTTTTTTTACTTTTTGTCTAATTGCAAAACACATGCATATCCTATCAAAATGAAGTTCTGAAATACGTTTTCCAATCTTCTCTTGAGCATGATATATCTCTTCAGAAAGTTACTGTATGAAATTTCAAACTATGAAAACAGGATTCTGTAACAGATTTTTGAAAAATGCCCAAAACAACGTTTGACTCATATGCAAGAAAAGTTGCGTTTGCATTTTCAAAGCTGAAACGTGATAAAATTCTCAGAGTTTTGAAGTTGTTTCAAAAGTTCCATACTTTTTCTCTAGTTTTATATCAAAACAATTAATTTATTTGACACGGTATCAGTGGTTTTGACGATAATTTCATTTCTTTTCACACCATTCAAAAGCTATTTATTTTTAGTTGGTTTCCAAATTTGTTCCAGGAAATCAGAAGTTCAAAACAACAAAACACGAAATCGAAGCAAAGATTGAGGCCAGTTTTTTGTGCAAATGTTAGCCACTTTAACAAAAAGTGTGACTGTATTTTTGATGACACTCTCAACTACGTAGATAATTACTCCGGCAAAAACTGTAAGGCACAAAACAAGTTTGAACATCGGTTACAAAGTGCGGGGGATTGATTCGCGCTCTCAAAAATTTGATGTCTAAATTTCGGGATGTTTTTATCTGTCTTTTTTTCGATTTTTTTGAGGGAATTGCCACCAAACGAGCCCCGCGGGCATTAATGCTTCCTGTGTCTGAGCAGCACTTCATCTAACTCAACATCATAAATTTCGAGAGGACAACTTTTTCGAACTTGGAAAATGTCGCGAATTTGAGTTGTTTCGAGAGGAACATACGGGAGATGAAAAAAACTGTGTAGGTGGTCATGACCAGGATATATGTATGTCAAACACATGAAGTGTGATCCCATAAAGTTTGAAATTTGAAAACAGTGAGTGCTCAATGATGTCCAGTTCATTCGGCACAATGAAATCCATTATTTCGTGGTTTTTTTTTCTGAGCTTTGCCCTAACCGGGAAGCAATCAGGAAACATTGTGGTTTGATAAATGAACTGCTTCCATGTTCTGATTGTTATTATCTTAAAACTCTATTCTTTTTGAAACAAAAAGTGCTTCCCAAAAAGCATTTATTTCTAACTTGTACAATACTTAAACCAAGACTTAATATCGAAAATACATTTTTCCTGAAACACCGAGAAGGAATGAAATGAATGGGAATTAGAACGGAAAAAATTCTGTGCTCAGGAAAAGGAGATTATTCTTTCATGGTTAGGAAGGTCATTATAGAAGTTATACCCATTGGTCAAAAAAACAGGGAAAGTTATGAATGAGGGAGAAACAAAGAAATAATAACAAAATAAGTGAAGATACACGATGATTTTGTTTGGTTTGTAAGGGGACTGTTGAGCATTCTTAACTACAGGTATAGAAAAATAAAGTGAAGGCAAATAAGTGTAGTAGAACTGGAAAGCTTTAAATGTACAGCGGTGATTTAAGAGTGTATGAGAAAATGAAATAAATTGAAATGACAATTCGTTTGAACAAAATTATTGATTGAGGAGCAAGAAGATTATTTTCTTAAAGATTCTCCACTGGTTGTCTGCCGAGCGGTCCTCCGTCGAGTTCGTTCCCAGCTGGAATGGCTACACAAGCTCTTTCCTCTTCAGATATGTTGAGGTTGAAACTAGAGGCGTACTCAGGGTGACGGGCGACGTACTAAAAAAAGGAAAAAAAAGGAAAAATAATTGTATTTTGATTGAGAATGCGTTTTAAGAATCAGCGGTGTTTTCAGTTTTTCAAAATATAAATACAGTGAAAAACATGTGAAAAAGTGTTTTAGTTGGTTTCGTTTCATTTTTTAACCATTCTCAGAAGTGTGGAGTTCGACTGTCAAGTTTTAGATCGTTTTGAAAATTTTGGATGGTGTATAACAGGCCTAGGTTGAATACTGCGAAATAGTGTTTGAACGTTCCTAGGTTTTTAACTTTTTTTTTTGCGATTTTTTTCAAAAAGAAAAAGTTGCCGAATTGCCGTTGCTGATTTCGGCAAAAAAATTTCGCCAATTTCGGCAACTAAAATTTTTTTGAATTTAGAGATTTTCACAATTTTTTAGCTAATAATCATCAAAAATACTTGCATCGGATCTAAAAATGAACTTCAAATTTGTGAGCATAGGATAAAAATAGATATCATGAGTCACAACTCATCAAAAAAATTATCAATCTGTCTCAAATCTCTAGGGAACGTGTGTCGTGAGTTGCCTAACAAGTTGAGCGCACTATTTTCAAACCTCACAATCGGAGCAAATACTTTCAACCATTGGAATACCCTCTATTGCTAAAAAAATAGTTTGCATAAAAAATGTGGTCTTGAATTGCCAATATTTGTAATTACTTTTTTAAGGAACGTATGAAACACATTTTCTGTAGTTCTGAGCCTGATAGAAGCATTTTCAGGCGAGTTACGATTTTACTAAAAAAAGACGCAAAACTTTTGTTGCCGAAAATTGCCGAAATTGCCGAAATTTTTTTCTGCAATTGCCGAGTTGCCGAACGTTGCCGAAAAGTATTCGGCAAATTGCCGAGTTGCCGAATTGCCGAAAAAATTTTGTTGCCGCACAGGCCTGTCTACGACATGCTGACAACATTCAGGTAACTTGTGAATACCATCCCTCCAAAAGCCAGGTTGGCCGCGAATCAATTCATACCTTCAGCGCCGTTAGTGTAAAATTATTTTCTCTCCAGATGACATTGCATATCTCCGAGTAACCAATAATGAAAGGGTCAAGTCTGGAGTTCAAAGAATATGGAGAGCCGGTCATCCAAAGCAGCTTCGGACTGAATTGACTTTCCTTAAAAAACGCGTGATCCATGTTTCACGGAAAGTCAAGTAAGACCTGGGCCGCTTTAGCTGGACGGTTTGTCTTTACATCCCCTCAAACCCCTGAATTGGCCTTTTCATTGTTATTTATTAGTTGGTATGCAACGTCATCTGGATGGAAATAGTTCAACACTGTAGATGAGATAAAACCCGGACTGAAAAAAAAATACTTTGAGTCGCGGCCAGCAGGCTTTTGGAGGGATGGTATTGACAAGATACCTGAATGTTGTCAGCATGTGGACCACAACGATAAATACTGTCAATCTTGGATAATTTTGTTTTTTTGTTATTCACGAATTAAAAAATGGACAGTTACTTTCCTTCCAACCTAATAGATCAGTGGTTACTATTTCAAGCGGCGTACAGCATTTTATTTAGCAGCCAGCTCTTGGCCACACTAGAGGATGCTCCTTTTTTTCAAGCAAATGTGAGCCTTTTCACGAAGCCTCACATTAATTTTTAGCATCTCATAATCTCTTAAACATCTCAACTAACCTTGATCATATCCAAATCATAAAAAATGCCCAACTCAAGTTTATCAGCTGGATCAATCTTGTCAGTGTGAACAACAGCCATTTCAATATATCGCTTGATTGTGTCCGACAACCAGTATCCCGCCAAGTCAAGGATCCTCTTGAAGTTATTGAAATTGATAGCGAGACTCTTGTGATACATGATTTCTAGGCAATATAGTACTATGTCAGATGCTTCGTTCACTTTAATGGTGCTCAATCCACAATCGGCAAACATATTGTTATTGAATAAAGTATTGAGTTGGTAGCTATGCTTGGAAACAAACTGAAACGAAAACATTTTGATTTGTACAGAGATGGCAGATTTTACCTCTTTGTTCACTCCAATCTTCTTGCCATCATTGCATTCAATCCATCCATTGCAAGGACCCGGCATCATGTAAGGAGAGGAGAAATCCGCTTCATGTCTGAATGTGTGTATGAAGTTGGCGTCCGTGTGATGGAAATGAAGTTGGATTCCGACACTCAACTTATTCTTTGCAAGTATTGTCAGTTGCTCTTCGGACAGGTGGGCAACAACCGTTCCATAGGTTCGTTGTTGCTCATGGATGATGCGGTATGATGTGTTTACTGCTTTTTTGACACCATGCTCAAACAGAGTGATCTTCATTTTTGCGTTTTGACGACCATCGAGTTTGAAAACTGCTCCCATCATCAGAAGAGTACCTTTAGGGGTGTCCTCGAAGTAAAACGTGAACTGTCTGAAACCTTGGATCAGGGATGTGGCTATTCAACATTTCTAATTTCTTACCCTCGATGTTCTCTTGCAAAACGCATGGTCTCTACTTGAGTACGACAATGAACTTCTTTCGGATTCATGCGCAGTTCAAAAATTTGACAAACCCCGCTGGGCGAATTTGTTTCAAAACCAATTTGCTGTTTCGGCTCCTCAAACCAAAAATTGTATTTTTTTATTCGGCATAAAAATCAATAGCGTCTACGTACCTCCTCCAAAAAATCGTGATAAAATGGCAATAAAGCCTTCGCATTGAAATCGATGCCAGAATCCGGAGTATCGAGAAGATCCCATTTCTCAGTAAAGCCCAATTTGAATCCATTCACAAGGATATCGTGAAGTTTCTCAGTGCCGATGTACCAGCGGTGGCAGAGGAAACCGGCAAACTCGTAAAATGCTTTAGCTTCGTTTTGCGATAGTATTCCGATCTTCAAATCACCTAGCAGCAAGTCGAGATGGGGATTGTGAACGTGGAGTTGGTTAGTGTTCATTCTTACTGCGCATTTATCTAGGTAATTGACCCATTTATCACTCATCGGCCAAGATTGGCCGTCGTAGGTGAACTCATCTACTTTTTCGGCATGATGAATAGTAAATATCATATTTAAATGTGGACTATTCATTACATGGTCAACTCTGAAATGACTTTTTTGTTTTATTTTTGCAGATTTAAAAGGGTTACCTGCTCTGAGACGTGAGCATTATATCTGGGAACATCAGTGTTCTATGGTTCTTGTCAAAAATCAGTGTTTGCTCAATATGATCCGACGTGTTAACTGTCACTTTGGTGATTTTAAGGCTTGTGATAATTTTGTAAGCATTTTCGCCCATTCCGCTGAAAGTAACAAAGAATCGCCCGTAATGACAATTGCTATCCACAACTTTCGCTTCGTATTTGATGGTCCTGAAATTATTTCAAAATTTGGGAAGTCACTCCGAATCAGATTTGACATTGAGCGGAAAATTTTCGGTAGTGAATTTTTTTCAAAATTTAGGAGAAAATGTTCCGATTTTTTAAAACCTGAAATTATTTTCCTTCTTTCCAATTATCTTCGGAGATCATTTTTCGCTTAGCTCAGAATATCAACTCACCAGCTGATGTTATTCCATGGTTTCGAGCATTCTTTGATCATTGATCGGCTAATATTAAATTCGCCACGTGTGATAAACGGAAATGGCAGTTCATGTGGACGATGTGAACGACGTCTCTCTAACTGTTCCTCTAGTTGTTCTAGACCATTTTGAGGAGGTTCCTGACGGTGGTTTTCTTCACGGGGCAAGAATGGGCGATGTACATCTCCATTCATTCTTTCCATTAATTGCAATGCATCGTCATCCTGCCTATCCCCATCATCCATATCCCCGTCTTCCGGAAAAATCTGCCACACTTCGTCTTGCCAATTCCTTCGTGGGTGAACGCGACGTGGTCTTATTTGCCGTGGCGGAGCATCACCAGCCGCTGGATTTCCTTCTTCTGGATTTTCAGCTAGTGGATCCTGTGGATCTGCTTGTCCTTCATTTGCCCTTCCTTCACCTCTTCTGAGTCTTCTGAGACGATAACGACGTCTGAGTCGATCGCGATGAACTTCATCCATTTTCCTGGACTTCTAAAAATGTTGAATAATTAGTTTTAGTTCATGAATATGAAATTAACATCGGCGTTTATTTTAAGTACGTATAAGTTTTTAAGCAATACATTTTTCCACATTTTTTTTAATATAATGGGAGCTTTCGATGCTGTTAAATTAAACATTTACCGCCATATTTTGTAAGATTTTTAGTTTTTGAAGCGCTTGCGAGTTTCTTGTCCCCAGTTCACCTTTACAACGTAATCAGTTGGTAATTTTGAAAAGTTTTAGATTTTTATAACTCACTAGTTTCTAACGACGACGGTTTGACAATCACGGATCCTGGACAAAGATGTGTGACTCGGTCAATTCCAATTTAACAATTACCTGAAAGAAATAATGTTTTTGGAATCGAGAGGATTAGCGGTATAACAAAACAGTGTTAGACACCATGAAAAAAACGAAAATAGCTTTTTCAAGCCTTGCAGAAGATATTCTAACCAAAACAGTCCAAAAAAAGGAGAAGAAAAAAGAGCAAAGCTTCCAAAACCGATATGGGCCCTATGAGCGTCTCTTCTAGTGAGAGTATGCCATTCTCACTGTTAATCAGAGAAAGAGACGCAGTTGAGCGACAAAAAGAAAGAGTGAGAGAGTGTAGGAAATGATGAGGCGGTTAGAGAAGTGACGGGATGAAGTGAGCGTTGCGAGGCCGCGGTCCACGTTGGGTTGTTTGTGTTTTTGTGTGGTAGAGGCCGTGAGCGCAACTATCGACCGGTGGAAAAAAGAGGGAGAGAGAGAAAAGAGAATTTCCTGAGAGGCAAAACAGGCGCACATTTAACAAGAGATAGGTGAGGATGGCATTGTAAGATGATGTGCTGATAAAGAAATAAATATTCGATTAGGAAGAACAATCGAACAATAAGTGAGTCATAGAGAAGTCTAGACACGTGTTTGTGGTCAAATGAAACATGAAAACATATCAAAAACAATTTACGAATGAATATTGCTATGTCTAAGCAAATCCATTCTATTTCATCATTCAGAAAGAATTTCTCAATGAAAAAGGTTGTTTGAAAAACAATACAATGAAGAAGATAGACAGAGTGAAGAGAGAGGGGAATTGGAAAAGGCGCAATTTTAAAATAGCTTTCACCGTTAGAGCCGTTTTATTCGAAAACTGTTTTATTGGAAAAATTGTTGCTCAAAAGAAATGAATGTGAAGTTGTGAGCTGAAGTTCTCTCCGGCAGAACTCCTTGGTGATTTGGTTGCTTGGCGACATATAAAAAAAGAGAAACATAGAAAGGCAATTAACAAAGAAGTTGCTCACTCTGACAATAAAAAAAGGATAACAAATGTTCATGTGTTTAGGAGACACACAGTTAAAGTAAAAGTAAAATAAATTCAACCGAAAAAAAAAGTTTTGCAGATTTCAAAGGGATGAAATCTAGGTCTATCGCAGAGGAGAGGTCCCATGTTTCGACCCTTGATCATATATTCCCCTCTCTCTCATTACGGTTTTGTCGTTTTGTCCCCCACATACAATACTCTTACTCTGATACTGAAACTTTGAAAATTCGAGATTATGTGAGTATTATAAATTTTTTATTGCGCTTTCAGAATAATTATATGCTTTATCTGATAAAAAGTCGAATTCGTCTTGTTTTTGTCCCTTCGATTGTTCTCCAAAAGTTAAGGAACTGATAAACATATGGTTTACAACCGTTCAGGGTGGGGCAAAAGTTTGGTAAACAAAACAAGACGTCATAACGTATCGGAAAACAGTCGAATTAGCTTCAGCTATTTACAAAACTTGATCAAAATGGTTTTTAACAACATCAAATCAAAGTTGTCCGTTTCTGACAGCTTTGTTTCTGTTTTATTTTGTAATCTGAAAACAGAAACTAACCAGTAAAACATGTAGAGTACAACTTGTTGATAATGAGAGCAATATTATTTTCCTGTTCGTGAAATTCCCTAGTCATTTTGGGTAGAAACAAAAATCTTTGGATAGTGTAAGTTTTATTCAAATAAATTGGACCAAAAAACGCATATATCTTTCAATTGCTTTAGTTGGGCGGTTTTTCTTGTACTTTCTTCGGTAGGTGAAACATGCAGTGCACAAGATCCCACCACTGGATGTGATGTTTCTCCATTGACAGGTTTTAGTGACGAAACAATTAGTGCATTGATGAGTTTTGGATTCTAGGCGAGATTTTGATGCAGCAGTTGATGTTTTCGTCAATTGAATCGGCACATCGAAAGTTGTTGGAAATGGAGCCTGCGGAGCTGGTACTTGGTGAGCTAGAGTTAGGAGTCGTGGTATTGAAATATCAGTTAAGCGGTGGGAACATAGTGTCAGTCACTGGTTGAGGAATTCGAGTTGGAGAGGGAATAGAAACATTTGAACTCAATCTTTGGAAGAATTGAGCATAATAATAAGCGTAGTAGTTAGAATATAAGGTGTAGTCGGAGTAGTCAGTGGATTGAGTATTCAAATAATTAGAGTTGTGATTTTCCGAATTCCAAGAATTAGTGTCAAAGTATGAGTATGGAATAGTCGTGTCAGGAACACTGTCAGTAGCAATTGGAGTGAATTGAGAGCTCATAACGAGAGGATCAGTAACCTGACTGCTGACTTCGAGAAAACTGTTTCTTATATATCACTCTATGCCCCGCCCCTTCCAGAAAATGATGATAATGACAAAACAAATCTCAGCACATGAAATTGATAGCTATAAATAAAAATTGTCAGCGTATAAGAAGAGATATCTAAAGATCTAGCTGATATTCTCACTATCAGAGTCAGAATGATGACAATAATGAGCCATGTAGGGAAATATGGTGTTATCATCAGATTCTCGAGGAAATTTAATACAACAGTCGACTTCTATCCACCTAAACCGTTTTAAGTTAAAACGAGAAAATAGATAATACCGTGTAGATAGATTTCAAGTTATCTCCTTCCATGATATCTTTCTTTCTATCTATGTCTAACTTTTGAGTCCATCCTATCTCGAAAATATCTTCGATGCTTATAAACTGAAAATTAGTTCATGAGCACATGGTCTGAAAAGTTCAGTGTTGGGTTTTGATTTTTTTTTGTTGGAATCTCTCCATCTATTGAACATTATGTTCTAGGAATATGAACGTTCTCGAAGTTTCAAATATGAACATAATCAAAAGATCGGGCTGTGATAGAATGGATGGGTGCATGGGAGAAGGGGCGAGGCTACACGTTTGAGACCAATCGTCTTAATTAGACCTCGGCTTTTTTGTTCAGTGACAACAAAGTAGTGTTTTTAAAAAGATTTGATTTTTTAATATCAACAAAACTGTTTCGCAATAAATATGAAAGCGCAGTTTGAGCCTGATCAGAAACCCCTCAAAAATTCTGAGTCATATTGAAAAATTTTAAGCTTTCATGAAAGGAATTGAGTAATTGGAAAACTAGTCACCTTTAAAAAATTAGTCGGAAATGTACTAGTCTCAAAGTTGATAAGATTTGTTCTTCAGCTTTTTTTGCCACAATATCAAACAATTATATTCCAATGGAATACTTTAACCCCAAAAGTTCGGTAGCGGCCATCAAAAGCTCATTTTGTATAATAAACTCCAGAGTATTGAGACTTTTTTTTAGGAAGACTCGCGGAGCACAAATACATATCCCTTGATAAAAATAGCAATAAAAATTTCTCATCGAACCTGAAAACTACAATCAATTTAGATGGATCACTTTTATTCAACATTGAAAGATTTTATAGTTTTCAAAATATATAATAAAATGAGAAGCAGTCAATTACATGGCAAAATTTAGAGCAACTATTTGTGAAAAATGAAAGCGAAAAGCGATTGGGCCATGGCTGTGAAATGAAAAACCAATATAAATTGATTCATAATAACATAATTAGATTCTAAACGTTGTGAGCGACTTCTGAGAAGTATGGACCATCTTGATTCTGAATGGCCTCGTATCGGGATCGTGGAGAAGAAAATTGGACTGCAGACAGTTCGCGAGTCTCCGGTGGAGGTGTAGTTGGGCAGTGCTCGATATCAGCGATGATGGAAACAGACAAAATGAATTTCTCCCTGAAATTATTGCAGATAAATTTAGATGTGTGCAGTCTAACTCTACCTTGGTTCATATCTCTTGCAGAGAGCAATCAAAGATGGTTCTTTCCTTTCAGCTATTAAATCATTAACAGTGTAGTAATAGAGAAGTTGGGTTATTGGTAAGGCGGAGAGCGCTTTCCAGCCATTGCTCACATATGCCTGAACTCAATTACAGTAATCCAGAGACTTCAAGAGTTAGTACCAACCTGTGCGAGTTGTGGAGATGACAATCGAATATTCACACTTCCTCTTCCATTGACAGAGAATCCCTCTCTGGCAACTTTCGACATATATCCTTGAGCTAGCTCATCCTCGCGCACTTTCATGATAACATCTTTGCATAATGTGTTAATTCGAGCAAATGAGCATCTTCCAGAGTGGCTCGGCCAATTGTTGTGTCTGAAATGTTATTGATACAACAGGTTTTTAAATTTATGATTTTATACCTGCACTCTCTGGAGCAATAGTAGGTATAGCAATGTTTGCAGGACACGAAGAAAAGTCGAGCTGCAGAAAGTTCTCGAGTTCTATGACATTCTGTGCATCTGACGAACAACTCTTCGTTTCTGAAAATAATATTATGTTGGATTCTATCAACTGTGAGGAGATGCTTACTGTAGAATGTGCTCAGCTCTTTCTGGAGACTTTAACACTTGTCGCATCACGCTGTAGTTATTTGTGTAAATCCCTGGTCCATCCGAGTATCCTTGGAATAATTCGTCAGCTTGAGGGTAGCTGAAAATGTTTATTTATTCATAAACTTGGTTATTCGAAAAAGTGTACCTCCGAGCTGCGTATCTTCTTGGATCAGTTGGAGCCACTTTCTGGAAAATGGAGTCTAGAACTTCTTCGATTGTCACACGACCTCCGTATCGGTTAGTGAAGTTTCCTGAAAAAATAGGAAATAATCAGAGTTTATAAGATCAAAAGTATCATCGATTATCTATTTCTCCTATATTATTTGCACTTGCAAGTGCATTGCAAACAATAGGAGTGCCAAAAATGCATACCGTATTCATGAGAAGAAGTGCCAACGAAGGTGTCGGCAACCTCGACAACACGAGACGTACGGCTGGTCTGTAAGTTCCACGCATTCGGCACTTCCGACACTGTGTAGCCTGGAAGCGCATGTCCTTGGTCGGAAACAGTACCACCGACACTCAACGTTGATCCCTATAACAATTGAAAAAAAGTTTACAGAATAGAAACCACTTTTTGAGGTGAAGGTCGGGAGAGAATAGAAGGATTGAAATGTTGCTAAACTTCAACTGTTTTCACGTACAGTACCGGTCAATAAAATTGACAAACATGTATTTTTTCGGTTGATGTTCGGGTATTTGTCCATTTTCGGGAATGTGAAGCTCAGCTGTCAAGTTTTCGTTCATTTTTGAAAATTTGAAAGGTGTTAAACAGAACTAGATTGAAAACTTAACATTCACAAAATTTTCGAAATTTCCTAGTTTCGCCTGTTTTTTTCATGTTTTCAATAAAAAGGTTCAAAAAGAAATGTATTTCAGTGATTAGCAAATAGCTAAAAAAAACAGGGAACTTTCAAAAATTCTGTGATTGCAAAGTTATCAACCTAGGTCTATTTTACATCCTCAATAATTTTCAAAATGATTAGGAACATGACAGCCAAATTTGAGATTCTTGAAAATTGCCAAAAATCAACTGGAAAATAAGTTTTTGTGTATCTTATTGACCGGTACTGTAAATCAAAAATCTATTTTCCAACAAAGGAGAAAATAAGCCAAAACATGCATTTCTACAATCCAAATCATAAGCTTCAAAGTTTATCCATATTTATTCAATACGTGTAAAAACATCACAAATTGATGGCCATTTCTCGTCTGATTAGGGCTCCTTATAAAAATGAAAAAAATGCGTATTTAGGGATAAAAAACATGGGGGAAAGGTAATGCATTGGTTTTTAGAAGTTTTGGGTAAGATACAAGACAAATCATGCTTGGGAAAAATCGGTGAGAATTGAAAGCGAAGGAGTAAAGGCAGAGGGGAAAAAGTGAATTGTGTTTTTTGAGCTGGGGGATATGACTGGACTCTTTTTCATAGAAAACAGAAGGAAAAACATAGGAAAATGCAAGAGGAATAGGGGATAAATGCAAATGGATAGTGATTTATAATGCAACAACCTGTCGGTTCGATGGCTCCTGGCTAGTTTGGTGTAGAGAAGAACGGGAACGACGGAGCTCCTCAATATCGTCCTTGTATCTGTCGAACATGCCACGTGGCAGTCCAATGTTGCCAACAACAGCTGGTTGTGGTGGAACTGGTGGGGCATACTGTACTTGTCGTGGTTCATTCACTGTGGATGTGGTGGTTGTAGTTGTAGTGATTGGCTCAGCTCCACTGGTGTACCGATAAGTAGTGGTTTGGGTGGTACTCTGTGGCTTGTTCTCACGGTACCAGTCTGGTACAGTAAGCTTTTCTGTAGATTTACGGAAACGCATTTCGTATTCCGAGATGCGAGATTCCCGTGGTGATTGATCAAGTGCATCTGTACGAGTCTTCTGGAGTTGATTCTCTGGAACCTCGGTCTCTTCACGGATTCTGAAAAAAAAATGTTATGAGAATTCTCCGATAATTTGAATACTTCTTACCTTCTATCCATGAGATAATCAGCTGAACGACTTCTGATATGTGCTTGATCCGCTGGACTCTCACGACGGCTATCTCTCTCATAAGCGACTACCGATTCTGCACGTGTATTGACCTCCGTGTGCTGGAAAACTTCCTTATTTTGACTCAACATACATGAAATATTTATAATCTTTTTAAATTCATCATCAAACGATACAATTCTGAGTAGGGAGGACCCAAACCCGTGAGAAACTAGCCAAGAATAAGCAACAACAGGCAAAAACCAACCTTTGGCTGACCATGCCTATCCTGATAATAATAACGGCTGGATTGATAAATCGAGGGATTGCTGGCACGGCTATTGTATTGAGCGTATCGACGTTCAGTCTCTTCCAGAAGCTTCGCAAACGGCTACATATTGCAAAATTCAAAGCTTAGCAGAGTGATAAAAAAGCGTTTAGGGAAAGGGAAAAAGACAGTTAGGATTTCAGGGAAGTTCACCCAGGAATATTGTTAATGTGAAAAGAACGTTTTGTTAAATGACAGAACACGACAAACCTGTTCATATGGACTTGGTCCCATTCTGCGATATGGCAGGCCGTCGGTTTCATTTAGAGCAGTGGTGCGGAACTCAGATTCATGGAATTTTTGGAGAAGTGGTCCGCGGTATTCTGGGCGAGAGCGAGTGGTCAGATCATCAATGGATTTGCGGAAGCGGTCAGACACTGGATCTGAAAGAATTCAGTTGGAAAATAACATATATTTGATGGTTTGATTTTCTATTTTTGTCCTGTATTTTTTCTGTAAAACTTGTAATAGAAATGCTGCTAACAATCAAGATTCGCCTATTTTTTAAAAGTGTTATTTTGAAATCAAAGAGCTGAATAATTGGTTTGAATTTGAAGGTTTGAGGCTATCGTATTAGAGGTAGGACGGTATTTTGCCTACTGTAAACGCTTTAATAGAATGCTACAATTGAGATCAGTTATCTCAATTACTCTAACGTATATTAACATTTTTCATCTGTAAGAATACTTGTCATAATATCACCAACATTATTGTAGTTTGCATTTTTTATATATCTCACAAAAATTGAGATAATTGATCTTGAATTGAAAATCAATGATGACGTTCTATCAAATCATTTACGGCGGTTTTGTTATATTGTCAAAAATTCCCGGTTTTCTGGAATCACATTTTTTTTTACAAAAAATTTAAATTTACGACATTTCAGGGCGTTCCAAAAATTGCTTTTTACGGTTTTTGTGCAATTTTTCAATATTTTGAAGTTTTTTTTCAAGCTCATTTTTTTCCGAATTTCTGAGAATTTTGAAAATTCTCTGATTTCTAATTATGCTCTATCACTCCGGATATTACAGTCGTCAATATTTTATAATCCGTTTTTTGATGCATGCAAGAGATACCAGCATGCCCTGAAATGTATCTGCAAAACACAATGAAACCACGTTCCCAGTCATTCCAACTTTACAATTTTCAACACTATTCACAACGTTACATTTCTTGTAATTTCATTTTTTCACCTTTTTTTTGTGCAATTTTTTTTGGTGTGCCAGGGAATAATGGTAAAAATTTTTATCGATACAAGAATACAGTTGACAAAATGTGTGGGAGGGGGACATGAGCCAATATCATCAGGATAATATCATCAGGACAGATAATACATAGAAATGAAAAGAATTCAGGTGAATGGATTTTTTGGGGGTGTAGTAGAATGTTGATGATAACTGTTGATTATTCGATATTCTGATATCGAATTTTCAAAATTGAAATAGGCAGTGTGATAGAAAAATAGAAAGAATTGAGAAAAACAGAAGGCACACACACTCTCACGCAGGCAAGCGCACACTCTTCTAGGATAATAAGGGTTTCTTGGGAAAGAATTTTGACTAAATGAAACTAAATTCAAAAGGATGATGCTGAATCAGAATCTAGAAGGGAAGACCTTTTGCTGCTTAAAAGTGGGAGGAGAGGAAAAAACAAAAAAGAACTGGCTTGAAGGGAGAGATTTTTCACTTGAAAGTTGTATTTTTTCGGATTAAATGAAAAGCTGCTATTTTTGTAAAGGATAGAATAGACAACACCTGATTATTTCTGGATTGTTTTGAAAGAAAAAGTTTGAAAAAAGAAACGTGTGTACTTTTTTCCTCTTGTATTGTGTATGTGATTGCGTGAATTGAATTGTAAAGTTCGAACGACTTTTTCCCATGATTTCTTGATGTTTTCAGAAACATTCGTTTTTTTCTGATCAGTGATAAGGTGAGAACATGCTCAGGACGAAACAGAAAGTCTTGAGAGGACACGGACAACTCAGGCGCGTTAGCAACAGAAAGAAAAAACTGAGAAAATAAAGTCATGCGAATAGAATTTCTCTCAATGTCATTCAATACAATTATTAGAAGTGAGTTAGAAAAGGAAAATAAAACGTGCAGTTGTTAGTATTCGTATTACGGTAAGAAAAAAGGTGATTTTCGAAATTTTGAGTTTTTTTTTACATGAAACATAACACTGGGGGCTTGGAAGAAAGGTGGGAAACGCGAAATGATTCGGAGCAGAGCAAATAAGAAATTGAAAAAAAACAGTACGAAAAATGAATCCGAAATGACACAGAGGAAAATAATTGGAAAATAAGAGGGAAGGGTTCGGATATATATGTTTTTTCGACGTTAAATATAGAAGTGTAAAAAAACGGACGACAAAACAGGCGACTAAACGGTGTAATCGGTGTCTAGCGAGTTTTCAGAGAGCAAAAAGTAAAAAATGTTCATATTACACAGGAAACTGTTCGAGTTTCTGTTTTTCATGCCAGACCTGCGGAATCCTGCGATGAGCTGTAGAAGTCGCGACGAGCCTTCTCGGTTTTGGCGCGTTGGTATCGGCTTCTGAAATTAACATTACAATTTGAAATATCTCAATTTTTCCTTTAATACCTGCTAGATCCATTTCTGTTCAAGTCGTTTGGGTTGTACATACGGTCACGGCTGTTCTCATCGTTGTCCAAGTATCCGATGGCACTTTGGCTTGATGGATATGGCAAGTCCTCAACCCAGACGTTGCGATCAACACGCTCGATGACTTGTCTTTCGACTTTGGTGGTGACTTCTGGTTCGCGAGTGGTGGTGTAGTACATTGGCTGGGTGAGCTTGGCCAAGGTCTCACTGCTCAACAAATGATGCTTCTTCTTGTTCATTGCCTCCTTCTCAGCGAGAAGTCGTCTCTTCTCACTCTCGAACTTTTCTTTCTCAGTTCTTTCACGGACCAGATGATCCAACTTGTCACGAGATCTTCTATCATCCAAACGACGGCTGGCTTCACGCTCGGCAGCTTCTCTTCTCTCGTTTTCACGAATTTGCTGGTTGCGGCGTTCACGGTCACGAAGATCAGCAATTTGAGCTTCTTCTATTGCACGTTCACGGTCACGACGATCCTTTTCGCGCATCTCAAGCTCTGAGAGTTCACGAGCTCTGCGATCCAACTCATCACGTTCACGTTGACGTTCGATTTCAGCGTTACGTTGAGCAGCACGAGCAGCGGCGGCACGTTGGAGATCGTTAAGCCGTGCGATTTCTTCCTCCTCTTCTTGTCTGAAACAATTCAATAATTAAAGACAAAAAGATATGGAAACACGTACCTCCTCTTGCGTTCTCTTTCTGCAGCATTACGACGCTCCTGCTCACGTCTTTCTCTATCACGACGTTCTTCTTCTTCACGCTGACGTTCGTTCTCCATTTCTTCGAGACGAGCACGATCACGAGCTTCCTTCTTTCTTTTTGCAGCCTCCACAAGCTCGAATTCACGGCGCTCCTCTTCTTTTCTGTAATGCAAAATTATCAGAATACTTCGAAAAATTGCAGTCCTCACCTTTCACGCTCTCTTCTCTCAGCATCGGCTCTTTCCATGTCAATTCTCTGTTGTTCAAGACGGATACGCTCTAGGCGTTCCTGTTCTTCACGTTCTTGACGTTTGCGAAGACGTTCACGCTCCTCGGCTTGTCTTTGTACATCGGCTACAAGCTCAGCTTCACGACGTTCATCTTCACGACGGCGCATTTCGCGAGCTTCGTCTTCGAGACGTTGACGTTCACGATCTTCAGCTTCACGACGTTGAATCTCAAGTTCTTGACGCTCTCGAAGTTCCAGCTCGCGACGCTCGCGCTCTATTCGTTCCAATTCAAGACGTTCTTTGAGAAGACGTTCCTCCTCCTCTTTTTCCTTTTCACGTTCACGACGTTCTCGCTCGATTCTCTCCTTTTTGATTCTCTCGATGCGTTCGATTTCGATTCTTTCACGTTCTATTCTCTCTCGTTCGATTCTTTCCTTCTCGAGTCTTTCCTTCTCGCGACGCTCAGCTTCAAGACGTTCTCTCTCGAGACGCTCCTTTTCTCTTTGAAGGCGTTCCATGGCTCTTCTCTCCTCTTCAGCTTTCTCTCGTTCCAATCTTTCTTTCTCGAGAGCACGACGACGTGCAAGCTCAGCTTCTTCAGCTCCGAGACGTTGTTCTTCGAGACGTTCCCATTCAGCACGACGGAGCATCTCTTGCTGTTGACGTTGTTGACGTTCCTTCTCTAGGCGATCCTTATCGGCGCGCTCTCTATCAGCGAGAGCTCTTTCCGATAGACTTTGGTGCTCACGAAGACGTTGCATTTCTTCACGAGTTCTCTGTTCAAGAAGTCTTCGAGCCTCTTCTTCACGTGCACGACGATCTTGTTCCTCTTGTAGACGACGGGCCTGGTCCTCTCTGATACGTCGTTCCTCCTCTTCAATATCGCGATGATAGGTGACCTGCAATACCAAAGCAATATAATTATACGATCTTCTTATCATCAGTTATCAGATGGTGGGGGTATCGTCAAATGCCCTTACCTTATAATCAACAGTTTTCTCCTCACGAGTTCTGCCGTCTCCACTGGTGGTCGTTGTGGTGTACGGAAGATATCTCTCCAGAGGTGATGTTGGTCTTCCAAGAGGTGTCTGAAACTGATCATTGGAGTTTTGAAAAAAAAAATAAAAGATGCGTATTTCGATGAGTCAGTACTAAGCAAACAAGAAGTTTCAAAATAGTATGCTTACTCTTTCTCTTGCTCTCGATGTTAGGAAGCGGAGCAAACAGCGTAAAAGAGAAAATGCCGAAAATGAATTATCAACGGAACAACGCACCGGGGCCAAACAAAATCAATATGCCTCTGAGCTACCTAGTCTTATATTTTCGTATATTTTTTGAAGAATAAAAAGCGTGAATGGAGGGGAAGAAAAATGTATGTGTGGTATACATTTTTCTCTTATTTTTATTGATTTCAATAAAAATAATAAAAATACACCGAAGGAGGGCATTTTTGTAATAAAATAAAGAAAGACCAGTTTCTGTTCCTTCTCTCTCTCTCTCTCAGATATTGTTTTCTATCTTTTTCTCTCACGCAGTCATAGATGGAGTCTCCAGATATAGTGGACCAAGGATAACTATTGGAATGTCACATGGGATGCGCGAAGTTTTGTTTGTTGTAAACAGTATCGAATGTTTCAAGATTCATAGAGCAAAGAGTCAACTTTCGAAATGAATAATTCAACAATTTTCTTTTCTTCTTACCTGAGACAACGCTTCTGTACTTCTGGTGATAATTGTTCTCGTCATGACTTCTCGTCGGTAGTATTCGTCCTGCAAAGAAAGTTTGAATGAAGAAAAATATAGAAAGTGAACAGTGTCAGGTAATGTGAGTATGTACACACAACGTTTTTTATGATATGAGGTGTTGGCACTGTGTGCTCAATGTCATGTGCACAATTGAGCTCGAAGTTAGAAAAAAAAAGCGTTCTTTTCAGAAACCTGCTAGATCGGAAATGAAGAATGTGTAGAATCAAAATAGATTGAACTGGGCGGGAAGTGATGAATGTCAAGAGGTCGGTCTGGTGACCAAAACTTTTTGTTGGGAGGAGGAAATAGAGGGTAAACGAGGAAAATGATGTGTTGTCTTACAGTTTGTTGATGTTACCACTGTTTCGATGCAAAAACTAGATTTCCAAGCCCAGGTTTTGCTAGAGGCAACCCCGTAAGACAAACTTGTAGTTACTTTTCTCGCTTCCTCTTCACTGGTACAAGTTTGTACACAGAGTATCTTGCAGTTGGTGTTAAGAAAAAGCGGAAAAGGTGTTTTAAAGATTATGTAGACTGTAGGCAGCCAGGAAACTGGTACGATCAATTTTTCGAGCTTCTGACTTACCGATGGTGTCTCGACATGATGATAAGTGGTAGTTGTGGTCGGCATCATGCGATAATCGAAGACGCTGCTGTGCGATGGTGCCGTGGATGGTGCCCGGTGCACCGGAATCTCGCGCACTGTCGAACGGGACGTCGCGTGCTCGGAGAGAAGATCTTCGCGGGACGAGCTGATCGACTGAAAATTGATTATTTGAAATTTTGAAAAAAGGAAGTTTGGTTTGTACAGTGAAAGTATGGTATGTAATGGCCATAAACATATTTAAAAAAGTGTTTTTTCAGTTGATTTTGACCATTTTCCGAAGTCTGAAACTCGTCTGTCAAGTTTCCGATTACTTTGAAAAATTTGGAGAATGTAAAACAGACTTATATTGAATATTTTGTATTCAGAGATTTTTTTTTGAAAATTCCAATTTTTTATTATTTGCCGATTTCTGAAGGGCACTTTTCTGATTGTTTTCAGTTCGAAAACAGAAAAAGAGGTCGCTTTCAGAAATGGGCGAATAACTGAAAAACTAGGAATGTTCAAAAAGTTCTGTGGCAGAGTTTCCATAGCCTCCAATATTTTTAAAGTGATCGGACACTTGACTGTTGAGCTCTAGACTTTTGAAAATGGTCAAAATCAACTGGAAACCACGTTTGTCATGTATTTATTGCCAGCACTGTATGTGGAATAAGAAATGGCAGTCAGAAGACATTGAAATGACACAAAAATAATTAGTGGGACTAAACGGAAATAATCGTTGAACTGGAAATTAGAGGACGCTAGAAAAAACTGGGTTGGGTTTGGTCGATCTGTTTGATCAAAAGGAAACAGGGGGCGTATCATTAATGAACTTTTAATTATGTATATTACCGGGTGCTGAATTTTGATAGGCGACATTCGAAAAACTAGAGAATCTCAATAAGAAGAGGAAGAAGAGGAGAAGGAAGATGAGTTCTGCCGTGTCTGCTGGCAAGGACGGAAAATGAGATAAGTATTGTTAAGCCGGGGACGATGCAGCGTGTCCATCTCCGGTCCAGTTGGTTGATAATAACAAGGTGTTGAGACGAAAGAGAGAGAGAGGGACGAGCAAAAAGTAAACATGATGTTGCCAGAGAGCAGACTGTGCTTTTTGTTTACCTCCTACGTCGGTAAGAATTTTTTTTTTCTTGCTGCTTGCTAATTTTTGTGTCGTCATCTTTTGAAAAGACAACATAAAAGCACAATAAACTTCCCCTGGAACATCCCGGAGAAGGAGAAGGATTACTAGTTCACGAATTCTTATGAGGAGCGAGCGAGTGGCAAAAGAAGTGGTCACTCTTTTTTTTGGTGTTCTCCTTCATGGTTTTATTCCCCGTGTATATCGCGGATGTAACGGATCTTGTTTTATGGGAAGTCGTTTTGGGAGACGAACGATTTATGTCAAAGGGAGTAGTGAATAGTGTGGTGGAATGGAAGACGGATTATTTTTAAGACAAGAGGAAGAAGAAGAAAAATAAAAAAAAACCTATCGGAAGTATAGAAGCGAGTTTTGTGGCAGAATGATTTTTCTTAAACTTTTAGAAACATCAGAACCCACTCAAGAGGACTTAAAATGCATACATAATTATAAAAACTGAAAACACTCTCTGATTAGTAGAAATATGCATATTTCAGCTAAACACTAGATCTAGGATAAATTCAAAACACTAAATATGGTGAAAAATGAAATTCTCAAAGGTTCCAAAAACGTCCGTGATGGCCGACCTTGGCGTATACAACAGACGTTCGGTCTCTAGGCGCCCTATACTAGTAGTGCTGCCTAAAGGTGACGGAAGGGTTTGGTCGTAGTAGGTGGTATTATTATTGTTGGAAAGTAAAGGAGAAACAGACATTGAAAAGTGGACGCAAGCGACAGCAAACGACACAGCAGAAAATTCCGCGCGGAGCGCAACGGACAGTCTGCGTCGGAGGGGCGCGCACTAACTAACCTCTATGCAATTATGCACAAGATGCATGCATTGTATGAGAGGAGAGGAACTGAATATGAGAGTTAGAGATAGAAAGAGCGGGAACGGAATGGTCAGCGGCGGGTGGGCTTGGTTGTAAAAGGTTGAGAAACATAGAGACAGAATGGCTGGCGAGTGCGCGAAAACAAAAAGGTGAGTAAATAAAAATGGAAAATTATGAACAGGTAGAAGTTGATAGGTGGCCATTTCCTTTTTGTTTTTATGAGAATTAGAATAGCTTGATTCAAATTTATATACTCTCTTCCTCTTGAATAATCTAAAAAAGAGTTTCAAAGCTTTAAATTTTTTATTCCAAATCTTTTGTCTGAAAAGATCCAGTTGTCTGAATTCATGGCTAATCTAAATATCAAAACCAATTGATCTTATACCAATCGTCTCATAAAAGCCTAACGACTGGAATCATAAAAGATAGACCTCATATTCTAAGTTTCATGAATCCCGCGTCGGCTTAGAAACCCCTCTGATCCCCGCCTCCTACTCACCAAAGCGGATCAAGATCTTTTGCGAAAAGACATTGAATATTTTCTAAGGTACATTAAAAGTATTGTTTCTCATATACGTCTTGGGCCAGGTGGTTGGTTTTCAAACAAAAGAAAATGAGAGCGTTTGTGGAGTTGAGGGGGGGGGGGGGGGGGAAGGTGAATTGAGCACAAATACATAAAAGCCGAGCTTTTGAGGTTCGAACGAGCCGATGAAGTAGGGTAGGGGAAGAAAATTGCCACCTATTCATCATGATTTTGGTGTTTTCGTGACATCTCAAAGAAAGGGAGAAGCATTTCAGAGAGACATTTTCTCAAGAGTTTTCAATTTCTCTTTTCATAAAGATAGTTTTTCAAGAGATGAGAGCCCAAATCATGAAAATATGAAATTTCAATAATCCGAAAAATCGAAAAATGTTTCGATTTCACCGCGACCGACCAAATAGTGAAAATGAAAACGTTGCCAACCAACAAACACAACACTGTGGGGGGTGCTGCGCCTTTCGGGCAATCATGAACAAAGCGTTTATCCGACCCGAGCGGAAAAATATTAAGCCTTCCCAACCCTCTATTGAAATTTTGTCATCTTCTTTATCGAAATTTTCATTTGTTTCGCTTTTCACAATCCTAGTTTCCTTATTCAAAATTGATAACAACAATTCAGGCTTTAATTATGTCAAGTTTCCGATAACTTTGAAAAAAATGGAGAGTATAAAACAGACCTAGATTGAAACTTTGCATTTACAGAACAGTTCGAAAATTCTTAATTTTTCAGCTATTCGGCGATTTCTGATGGAAATTTTTTTCACTTTTCAGTACGAAAATGGGCTAAAAAAAGTGTCTTCCAGAAATGGGCGAATAGCTGAAAAACAGTAAGTTTTCAAAAACTGTGAATTCAAAGTTTTGAATCTATATCAATTTTACACCCTCCAGAATTTTCAAATGAGCAGAAACTTGACAGCCGAACTCGAAATTTCTGAAAACGGTCAAAATCAACTGAAAACACGTATTTTCATATATTAATGACCAGTGTTGTATCAATCGTGCGAAATATGTTTTTTCGTTCAGTTTTCGGCGTTTTTCCTAAAAGATATTTTTGAGTGCAATTGGAATTCCAAGAGAAAAACTGAAGAAGATGCCATGGCGAAAAACAGAGCATCGGTGTGTGATCAGATCACATCCATCCGCAAACAGAACGCTATACGGGTGGTCGTAAGATCCCCGATGCCCATGTAATGTACACAAAAAAAGTTTCGAGTGATGGAGCTGCGAAGGAGAACGGTAGAGGAGTGGAAAAAGCTGGGAGACAAAAGACACAGAGAGGGAGAAGGAACCAAATATGCAAATATTTTGAGAATACTCTCTCGAGTGCGAAACGGAACGATTCTTCTTCTACTTCTCCTCCTACTCAATGTTTAGCTTTTTACATGTCACCTGGTAGCGGAACTGTACTAGATGATACACACATCATAACTTCCATATCATTGGTAGAATATTGAGGGATGACTAAACCCTCCTACTCACCTTTGGAATTGAAGAGGTGTGATGGTGTTGATAGCTGACTGCTGAAGATGATGACTGAACTAGCGGTGGTGGAGGCGGTGCGATTTCACTTGGAACACCACTCATTGTAGAAGCTGAAAAAAAGAAATTGGAATTTGGAATGGAATTCTTAGTCGGCAACTTTTTTTGAAAGCGAACTTCTAAGAATGAATAAAAAAAACAAGAAAACTACATTTCAAACAACAATAGTAATTGGTTCCCGAAAAATCGTTACACTTTCGGTTTTGTTGGTTTTGGTCACTGGAGTCAAGGAATTCGATAAACGAAAAAAGAAACTATCTTGCGAAATAAAATGAGAAAATGAAAAAAGGTGTATAGAACTGACGGGAAGTCTTAGAAAAGTGCTTCTATGGCTTCTAAAATTGCCTCAAATCAGAGAAAATTCCGGTTTCCTGAATGGAAAAAATCAAAAATGACAAGAAAAACGTAGTACTAACACAACAGTAATGAAAAAAGAAACGGACGGGGCCGGTTAGGCGGAACGGAATAATAATAATAGGTAACCCAATGATGGAAAATCGAGGCGAGAGGATGTAACCAAATATCAAAGAGCGCAAGCTGTCGCTCTTCAGCGTATCGCCTCAGATCTACGGTGTGTGTTTGTTTTTCACAATTTCCGTTGTGAAGTTTTGTTGTTGGAAATTGATATATGAATTTAATCTAGTTTTTGCAGTAAAGGTTATCATATTTTCAGAAAAACGAAGCGAAATGTCCCTCTAAGAAAAACCACCTTATTTCCTCTGATAGGTGCTCACTAAAAAATCAACTTTGAGCTCAATTATTTCAATTCTTGTGTGAGATATCAAAGTTTTGTCAACTGATAAATTACTTATCGCATTACCCCCAATATTTTATCAGCTAACTAACTTTTAATGCTTTTCAAAGAAACTGAGAATCTTGAGCTTGAAGTTCATGGTTCAGCTAGAGGAAATACGGTAATTGGGAATCGCACATTGAAATAGAAATTTATGAAATATGAAAATTCAAAAAAAGTCTGAAATCTAGAAAACTGGCGTTTGTTTGATTTTCAGTCGTAAAAAATGTTTGTTAGCTGGAAACTTGACATAAAAAATCATAAAAATCCGCCTACATTTTGAAACGTGGGGTAGCTAAACTTTTCCAACAAATCAACCTGCATTCTCTAATAAAAGGGCCCATTATACTTGCACTTTAATTTGAATTATTTATATTTCTTCAAGAGATATCAAAAATGAATCAACTGATAAAATGCTAGTGATCTTATAACAAACATTTCATTAGTCGACTGATTTCTGAAATCTTTTAAAGACATTTATAATTAAGCTCGATAGGGTAGCCTTCTATTCTAGCGTATACGAAAATTGCGTCCAACATAAAAAAATTTAAGATGAATTTGGACAGAGTTAAACTTGAGGGGATTTTTCAAATAAATCTTTCAAAAAAGTTTTCTCAAGCTAAAGCTCAAAAAGCAGAAAGTTAGTAAACTGAGAACACTGGCATCTTGGTTTCATGTTGACTTTGATTTTTGTGTGTGTATGTGTGTGTGTGCCACTAAAACCAACAATTGGTACATGAAACCTTCACCAACAATGAAATCTGATGCTACCAGCATCCAGCAGAAGCTGTGGGACGTTGCAAAAACGGATTGAGGGACAGAAGATACCGACGGAATTTCGCCCGGATTCTACGCAAAAAGGGTATCGCATTCGTTTCACCTAACACAACATCTTATCGAACGGTCAAATCGTTTGGACGGAATGAAGGTCGATCCTCCTTTTTGCCTCGTTTTCCTTTGTTTGGTACTTCTCCGTTTTCCATCATCCAATTTCTACACATTTTTACGAAGAAGAAGACTAGGACGGTTCTTCATGTTCTCAAGTGTGAAATGAGGCTGAGTGGATTTGAGGAAGGATTTAGGTGGAAAGGTGTGAGATTGAATTTGGCTTGGGACAAGATAGAGAAGTCGAAATTATTACAATAAAATAATTATTCTATCTTCATATTTTCTCAAAAGTAACTCGCCTGGATAGGATGGGGCTGTGTAAGAAGACGAACTAGTTTTCTGTGTCAAAATGCTTGGAAGAGGCACAGCTCCTACCAACGAAGAGACTGGGATCTTTGGAGCTGTTGTCACTGATGGATCGTTCCAAGCTTTTGGAGTATAGTGAGTTGTGGTTGTGGTAGTTGTGTTACCAACAATTTCTGTCGAACTCAATGGCGGTGGTGGCGGTGGAGGAGCATTTGGATGAAGAACAGCGGATGGTGGTGGAGGTGGAAGGTCTAATGGGGATCTTGGTCGACCGCTCGTTGTATCCATTTCGTCCTTGGTTCTGTAAAGACAATTTGCATTTCATCTCATGTATTTTTTTCTACTTCTTTTGTGTTTGTGTGGTAGTTTTAGAGGATATGAGAAAAGTGGAGAAAGAGAGGACATGAGAGCGATGAGATTAATGATCCGAAAATTTGCTTATGATACGTTTTGTAGAATTTTTTATTCTGAGGATTTTTCTGGAGGTTGAAAGTTTTTTCTCCTGGTAGTAGACGAAGATAATCAAAACAATTGCAAATTAATGGTGTCGGAGAAAACATCTTATTTTCTATGCTGATCTAAACATGATGAACAGTACCAGCCAGTATACATATTTTAGTTAATCTTCGGCTATTTTGATCATTTTCACGAGTCTGGAGCTCGGCTATGATGTTTTTGATCACTTTAGACACTTCGGAGGGTGTAAAACAGACCTCGATTGAAAACTTTGCAATTACAAAACTTTTTGAAAATTTTTAGTTTTTCTTCCATTTTCCGATTTCTGAAGAACACCTCCTGAAAAACAAGGAATTTCATAAAAAATTCTGTAAGCGCAAAGTTTCCAATCTAGGTCTGTTT